CACAAGGGGGCTCGTGCTCTCACTCTCTCTCTGCCTCTCTCGCGGGGGTCTCTCGCTCGGCCATAGAATCAAGGCGACATCGCTCTGCAACGACGGCCGTTCTGAGACGCTCGCTCGTATTGCAGGAGGGTGCGCGACTTCTGTACGTCAAAGCGAGAGAGAGAGAAAGGCAGAGAGAGAAGTGGCGGGAGAACGCGCGGGCTGGCAGGCGAGGCGGGTCGGGCGGGTCGGGTCGGGCTGGAGAAAAGCGAGGCGAGGCGGCAGGGTCGAGGTCGAGGTTGGGGGCGAGGCGCAGGCGCAGGTTGATCTTGAGGCGAAGGAAAGAGAGAGTGAGAGCGAGAGCGCGCGCGCGCCGGCGCTCACGCCTCCACGTCCGGCTGCATCGCCCCTCGTCCTCCTCCAAACAGCTCAAACGCGCTGCGGACCGCCTCGACGAGCTTGACGATCGACCGGCGGTCCTCCTCTGCGCGCGCGCTCAGGGCCGCCGGTCAGTCCCGTCCTTGCCTCGCTCCCATGAAAGAGAGAGAGAGACGGAGAAAGGGGAAAGAGCGGCGACGCACCGTTCCTCACCTCGCCCGCCTCGCACCGCCCAATCGCGCCCTCGAGCGCCGCCCGACCGCTCGCTTCGCGGCGCTCGAACCCGCGCGCGAGGTGCGCCGCGACGTGCGCGAACAGGGCGTCGAGGGTGGCGTAGATGCCTGTGTGTTGGGGGACGTACTCGGGCGTGGGACCTCGCTCGCACAGAGAAAGAGAGGGAGAGACAGAGAGAGAGAGGAGGAGGGACGAGGGCGCACCTTCGAGCGCGTCGCGGTGCGCGACCTCGTGCGAGCGGACGCGGTCCTGGAGCTGGGCCATGTCGAGCGTGTGCGGCGGCTCGGCCGGGTCGAGGAGGATGAGCTGCGACGGGACGGGCGCGGGCGCGGGCGCGGGTAGTGCGTGGCCGAGGAGGGCGGCAAAGGTCGACGCGAGGCGGGCGAGGAAGGTCGCGAGGGCGGACTTGGCGTCGTCTGTCGTCCGGTGGGCAGGAGGAGGGTGAACATGCCCTGCTGCTGCTGCGACGTCGCCCATGCTCGAGGAGCTCGAGGAGGACGAGGCGAGGGACGCACGCTGAGCGAGCTCGCGCGCCGTGTTGTGCTCGGCGAGGGCGCACAGGTGCGCGCGGTGGTGCTTCCGGAGGGCGACGAAGCGGCGGTGGATGGCGATGACGAGCTCGCGCTTGAGCGTGTCGAGGGTTGCGAGGGTGTCTGCGAGGGGAGCGAGAGGTTGAGAGCGGGTCCGGGCGAGGAGGTGGGAGAACCCCGCACCCTCGAGGGCGGCGATGGTGGATGCGCGCTCGGCGTCGAGGCGGTGGTGGATGTGGTGCGTGTCGAGGCGGTCGATGGGCTTGAGGGCGTCGGGCGAAAGGAGGACGGCGGCGGGAGACAACGGGCTCGAGGCGAGGGCCATTGGGAGCGGTGCAGTGGGTACGCGGTGGGTGCGTGTGGCTCGATGTCGCAGCGGGCAGCAGGGCTGAGCAGCGGGCAGGCGAGAGCTGGGGCGAGGGCGAGACGCAACTCGAGGAGGAGGAGCGACCATGGTCGACTCCACCCACCACCGACGACCACCTTGACCAAGTGACGATGCTCGGCACGACCCTCTTGCAGACAGCCACAAAGGCCCTGCGCACCCCCGTCGCCCGCCCTTGCCTGTGTCGCTCCCCGCTCGCCTCGACCTCGTCGTCCTCATCTCCCTCGTCCTCGTCGACCCTCGCCCGCCTCCTCAGCTCGTCCGCCCCGGCCCGCCACCACCTCCTGAGCACCTCCTCCCCCGCACCCTCCCGCTCCCCCTTCACCGCCCTCCACCGCGCCCTGTCGCCCGTCTCGGCTCCGACCACCACCGTGCCCAGCGCGGGCGCAGCTGCTCCCACCACCACCAGCCCGCTCGGCCAGACCCGCACGTTCAAGATGCCCCGGTGCGTCAAGCGCAAGACGAGCCCCGTCGCGCGCAACGGTGGCGCGGGCAAGGCCGCCAGGAAACACTCGGCGCGCGCGGTCCGTCCCCCTCTCTCTCTCTCTCTCTCTCTCTCTCTCTCTCTCTGTCTCTTGCGACTGGCAGAGTCGGCATGCTGACGGCCCCCTCTTTCCCTCGCGCGTAACAGGCAAAGCGCAGGCGACAGCGCTCGAAGAAGATCAACTAGGCGGCAGCGAGGCGAGGTCGGCGAGCGAGCGAGCGAGCGAGCGACGAGTGGTAGACGGTGCAGCGCAGGCGCCCTTGTCTTTCCCGGGTTCAGCGCGTTTCGTGCGGCGCGAGAGAGAGCGAGAGGCTTGCCCGTGCAGCACCCTCGAGCGCCCGCCCCCGAGCGCCGCTGGGCGCGTCGTCGTGCGAGGCTGAGAGGCGACTGTTCACGCGCCGCTATTGGAGAGAGGAGAGCTGCTCGACCTCGCTCCCTGTGCGACCGAGTGCGCCCGCAGGGGAGAGAGCTCGCTTGCTCGTGGCAGACTAGCCAAAGACATGTTCAGGCGAGATTCGAGCACAAGTCGAAACCGGCCGGTTCCTCGGAGCAGGAGGGGAGGGTCTCTCCTCCGCTCCGATACCGCCTCGTCCCGCTAGACGCACAGCCCGCCCGGCCACCGCCTCCACACGCGCCTCGCTGCCCATCCCGACCGCGCACACCGCCGCCCCCGCCCCTCGGCTCCCTCGCGCCCCTCCTCGCTCAACTCGCCCTCGCCGGAACGACCATGTCGCGCGCCCGCCAGAGCATGTACCCGGCCCCGCCGTCCGCATCGCACTGGTCTGCCCTCGAGCAGTGCTCCCAGGCCCTGCACGCCAGCTGCGTCAACGTGCGTCCCGCCCTGCCTCCCCCTCTCCCTGACTCTCGCGGGCGTGGCACTGATGAGCGACGACGGCGCAGGTGCACGACGCGGTCGTGGTTGCTCGACCA